TTCAATTTACTCACTCCATATCGTATAAAGTGTCATTTACTCACTCCATATCGTATAAATTGTTTTTCTCTAAAGAGACCAAGGGAATCTATTCATTTTCTTACATAAGGCGTGTAAGTAAATTTTAAGGAAGTAATTGTCATTGGTAGGTGTGTGTATTTAAATAATAATGCTTGATCAATCTATTTATAATAATAATGTTTGATCTGTACACTCGCATGGTACACCCCGACAAAAACGACATTCGCTTCTTCATAAAACGCAGGCACCAAACAAGCTTAAAAAAGCGAAAAGAACATCATGTTAGTAAATAATGAACATGCACATTCTAAAGAACATCAAGTTAAGATAAAAAGAACGCGAGATATTTTCAACACAAATCTTTAATTACGGGAAAAGATCTACCCATGGTTCACATTAACTGATAAAATCTTTTCAAAACTTATCATTTTCCAAAATTAGTTTCGCTTTCTCTCCAAAATATAGTTTCTCATAATATTTTTATTCTCTAAAATTATTTCACCCAAAAATAACTTAAGATTTCGTTTTTAAATTTCAACTTCAAATTTTTAAATTTCATTTTCAAAATTTCAGTTTTCAATTTTTTTTTATTTCATTCATATTTTTCACCAATTATATATAGTTATAATATTCATTTTAGGTTATGTATGTATATATTTCTTGTGATGTTCAATATGTGATTTAATAATGTTCTTTATTAGAAAACATGATGTACTTTATAGTTGTTTGTAATGTACAATTATTTTTTAAAACTATATCTTTTTCCTTATGTCCATAATTATATCATATAATGATTTTTATTAGATATTTTGATAGATTATTTTAAATGTCTATGTTCTTTGATTGTAATTGCAATGTACTTTTATCGTCACTTAATGTTCATTTCTTACTGTGAAATGTTCTTTGAATTTTATCTTTGGATTGTGGTAGGTATATATATATATATAAGTTATGTTCATTACATAATATTATCATGTTCTTTAATAATATAACGGATGTTCTTTAGATCTGAAAAACAATAATCAATAGAGGAGATCTCAAAAGAATATCGTTATTAACCTTCATGATCCTGATTTTAAAAAAACATACATAGTTAGTGATAAATAATATTAAAATATATATATAGAATTAATAAATGATATATTATTTAAAATTGATATTATAATTATTTTTAAGAACATACAGGATAAATCAAAGAACATCGAAACAAAGAATATAAGGGATAAAAATAAAGAACATTCATATGATTGTTCAATAATTATAATAACGTACATAAGTACAATTTATAAAGAACATCATCTTCAACCTTTGTCATATGGATCTCAAATTCATAAATATCAAAATTGAAAAAAAAAGAATGATATTTTACAATAATCGTGCAAAATAATAACGAAATATAATCAACCTAGTAAGCAAAATTCCGAAATTAAAATCATAACAAATTAAATTAAATTACCTTCTTCGATCCATCGATTACAATATTCTCATACTTTGCTCTGTATTTTTCTCTCTACAAAACTCTCTATAAACTTTGTTCTCTCTTAATTCGAAATTGAAATATGGTGAAATATAATTTTGGAAGTTATGTAAAAATGGAGAATATCACGTTGAATCCCATGAATTGTGGAAGAGGTTGTTTTTTTTTAAAAAAAATAAAAAAATAACACACTAACAGCTTGCAAATAAAATGTTAAAAACGCATCATTTAACACCAAGTGTACTATAAGCATGGTACACCCTAGTGTACTATGCAATTTTCAGTGTGTATTGATGGTAGATATATAATGAGTGTTGGGTCATCCTGTGTAAATTTAGACGTGTGTCCATTTAAGTTGTGTATAAATGTTATATTTGTATCAGCAATAAAGATAATAGAGATGTTAGTATTCCTACATGTTAGTAAAGTGGGAGTAGATTCACTTTTGTATATTGTTTGTCATCCTATTTCATTGTAGTAATTTAGTACTTGTACTTATAGAGTTATTTATCTGTCGTTTGCAAGATCAAAATGGTACAAGTTCAATTGGTCTACAATTATTCTCAAGTTTATTTGTCCAAATTAAAGTTTAGAATAATTCATTTAAACTTTTATACTTCTCTATGTACTATTCTAAGCAATTATTAAAAGTAGGAAAAATATTATTTGTGGATAAATGGAGTATAAATTGTCAGTCTCCTTAATATCATTTTAAAAAGTTAAATTATAATGGGTAGAGAATTCTAAAATCTTAGTTTTGTATAAATTTATGGTCCAATTTGGTTTCCTTCCTTGTATAACCAATCTGGTCTATGGCCTAGCCCAAACTTGAACGTGTAAAGTGGTATTTTTAGCATTAGTAAGGTAAGTAATGGCTTGTATATATTAGGTGTGTGAGAATGACACGTGTGAATGTGCTATTATATATGATTACTTAAGCATGAGAAATAAAAAGGGAGGACATAATTTTCCTTAACAACAACATTTCCCGCTCTTCTTCTGTGTCAATTTACTCTTCTATGTTCTTCGACCTTGTAACCTTGTTCAAGCTTTTCTTATAACAAAATGGCAATATTTTCGGCCATGAGAATACAAGATATCACTAAAATCTTTTGAGAATGTGAGTATCGGCTGCAACGTCTCAAATAAGAGAATTGGGTTACAAATATTGGGATCCGTCGGATTCAAGTTCAAGAAATACAAAAGCGATAGCCAGTTACTTACAAAAATCCTCACTTTTTTTTTTTTTTTTTTTTTTAACAACAGCGAAATCCTCACTTTGATAATTTTGAATAATCCTAATCCCTTTACTACTTCGAATGCTATTCCAACTTCAAATTGTCAGGTAATTTATATATTTGAATTTCATTAAGCCTTTTTAATTCATTAAATAGTTTATTTGATAATAATCGACAATTATGAAAAATTTAACCCAAGAATTAAAAAAAAAAATAATGGTAGAGTTTGGAACCTGGATTGAGAAATTATGAAGAAATGGATAAAGAATTACAGCAAATTCATGTTAGATTTTTATGTAATTTGTTAATTTATAAATAACGTAAGATAGTACTTAGTTCTCGTTTTTCTTTTTAATTGTACCAAAAAGTGCAGGACAACCCAGATATGGCTTACCTATCATTTTTACCGGGAAGAATTTCTTTCAAAATATATTTAATATGCTAATAGTAAATCTAACATATGTTATAACATATATTATATATTATTTAAATAACATATGCTAATAATATACACTTATTGAATATGTTATAACATATGTGACAAGTATATATTATTTAAGTGTTTTATGTTATTTAAACGATTCTAATTGGAGACTTGGAGTCTAATCTGAATAGTAAATACAACGTACTAAGTTGATGAACAATGTTTTTCGGACTCTTCATTTACGAAGTATATACCAATATTAATCATTGTTTTTCACCCTCAAGAACAATTCTTTAGTAGGCCAGGAATACAAGCTTTTCCCAACAATTAGCTCTACTGCTCACCATCTTGCTACCAACTTGCAACAATCTATGGTAACACTTCAAAAGTGTAGTAATTTATTGAATTCTTATATGAAAATGAAAATGTAAGGGTGTGTTTTTGTTTGTAGATACCTATTGCAGTGCTTACAACTCATGCTGCAGCTAACTCACAGTAATAATATAATTGACAGCAATGCATCACAAGTTTGGATATAATATTGCTTTTAATTCTATTAAGGTAGTAGGCATACTAGTTCAAATAAGGAAGTGAAATATAAAGCTTCATGATCATGTGCAGATTGCAACTCATATCGTATGAATTTAGTACACTGCACTCAATATTAATGCTTGATAGGGTTGAAAATAGCCTAACTTTTTTTTCTTTTTTTTTTTTTTTTTTTAAGATACCAACAATTGCAGGAGAGCTCAGATATGGCTTACCTATCATTATTTCAGGTGTAGCTCTAGCTATTAGCTCTGCATCCCAAGTCCGTTTTAATTTATATTTGTGTGCAGTGTTCACTACAAATAAATGAGGAGCAAGAGCAGATAGAAGCCATAGATGAACAAATAGGCTGATACAAGGATTTGTTGATAGTTAAGTATCGCTGTCTCGTGGCCTGTCTGCGAGACCAACTTTATTTATTAGTGATATGGTATGATATATAAGATTATCTCAAAATCTCAATAGTATCACTGTCTTACACGATGTTAAATATATTGCAATTAATACCTAGAGTCTTACTTGCTTCATGTTATTTTAGCACTATGTATCACACTGGCTTATAGAATATTCATATTATGCAATTTATAAGCTAAGAGTCTCAATTACTTTATATTATTCTAGCAAACTAAAATAGCGAAAAGAGTGCAGGATAGCATCAGAAGGAACAGAAGATATGAAAAGAAAAACATTTTGTTCTCATATAGAAGTGGAATCGGAGAACAATTTCTCATTTCCATATTGGCAATTACTAGTAATTGGGCACTAGGTTTAAAGAATACTACATACAAATGCTTTCAGCTAAAAATGGTAAAAGGTACCAAAGCCATCGCATTGAAATGTGGAATGTTGCCCTTTACATCAGTAAATTAGAGCTCAAAGAATTTCATAGACAAAAACTTGATTATACATGATAACATCATGATTTAGGGATCACATTAACCCCTAATAGCCATATGTACCGATTTAATTAGTGCTTGTGAGTTTCAGCTACTAGTTGCGTAATTTAGCAACATAAGTTATTTTTTCTTTTCCTATCTATTTTCGTAAGTTACTATATTGAAATGTATAACCACTATGACTTAGAATGCTTTGTTCATGTCAAATGATTCATATTATTCAGTGTATAGCATATATCATAAATTTAATGTGGGCTAAATGTATCAATATTTGAGAAGAGTTGATATATAATATAGGAAATTAAGTAGTACACCACATGTTTCCATGTAAACAAAAAAGGTCCCACATTGACAAAATACAACACAAACAACACCTTTATAATCTCAACAGATCAATAGTTAGAGCACGACCTTACTTGAACAGGATCTGTTCTATAGGATCGTACCTCTGTATCCTTGAGTTCTAAGGAGACAGAAAACCAAGTCTGGTGGATGAATAATGACCGTGCGATTAGAGCGTGATTAACGGCCACCGTTGATCTTCGGATCGCCGGTGCTGTAGAGGATCGTTCCTCAGCTCCTTCGAGAGCCGGGGATGGTCGCACGGTTGTCTGACAGACTCCCAAATCTTTTTAAATTTTTATTTTCATTTATTTTGTAGTTTAATTACTGCAACATCGAGCTAAAAATAATTTCAGTATATTTTTTTTGAAATTTTGAGAGACAAAAATGAAAGGGAAATTCGGAGGAAAGAAGGTTCCGACCGGAACACCGTCGTTGGCGAAGTCGTGTGTAGTGGTTGTTTTGTCGCTCCTCGGTGGTGCCTCTATTGTCCACAACATCTACAAACCTGACCTTGTAAGTTGTTCCTACTTTTAATCACTTCTTTTTATAGTTTTGTAGATTGCACACCATATGTTTGATAAAATGCCCAAGTGACAGAAATAAGCATATACTAATAGCATGTTGTTAATCAAAAGAAAAGGTGGAAATGGTATCATGAACAAATATATGTGCTGAAATTTCAATGTGTGAGACATGACTCCATGTGCTGAAATGGCAAAGATTAGAGGATCATTATTCCCTCTTTCATTGCGAGGTAGATTCGAGTTTCTACATACTTGGGTTATGGCTATATGTGGAAAAGATGTATTAATGATCTTCAATAGAAATACTTGTAAGTCCTTGATACTCCTTCATGATTATAAGTGCTAATAATTGTTTTTTTTTTTTTTTTTTAGATAGTAATTGCAAAGATTTTTGTTAGAAACCTGGATATAAATATCGAAAAATCATATCCCACGACTCATAAACCAACTGTTGTCAGCAAAGACTATCGCAGAAGTATAGAGTCACAGTTTTGCTAGTGTTTCTTCTTTGTACAGCTCTGTGTCATTCATACTTGGGTTATGGCTATATGTGGAAAAGATGTATTAATGATCTTCAATAGAAATACTTGTAAGTCCTTGATACTCCTTCATGATTATAAGTGCTAATAATTGTTTTTTTTTTTTTTTTTTTAGATAGTAATTGCAAAGATTTTTGTTAGAAACCTGGATATGAATATCGAAAAATCATATCCCACGACTCATAAACCAACTGTTGTCAGCAAAGACTATCGCAGAAGTATAGAGTCACAGTTTTGCTAGTGTTTCTTCTTTGTACAGCTCTGTGTCATTCATTTTAGTGTACAAGTATTTTCTGCTTTATAAAGATCACTAGGAAGTATAGGATTCCAGAACTCTGCTTTTTTAGGAACAACTATAGCAGCAGAACCATCAGACTCATTGCTTGTCTTGCTCGAAGGCAGTTTTTTTCTCTTACTTCTTTTGTTGCTGTTTGATAAAATGCTCCATTGCATTAAGTAATGTATATATGATTGATTTTTAAAATTATTATGTGCCTATAATATACTTTTTCTACATGATTGTTGCATCATTATATAATATAGCTGCTATGTGAAGAAACTATATTCAATTGAAATCTGTTGTATTACTGATGGTTCATTAGCGTTTCAAATCTCATGTAACAAATCCATGATATCCGATTCTTGCAACTCTATATTAGATTAGCATTAATAACATAAGTCATCTTTGATAATCTAATCTTCTAGAGTCTTAAGTTAGGCTTGTTGAAATGTACTTACTCTGCAGCATGGCTTCTTTGTTTATGTCAAATGAGTTTGTTGTATAAGCAAGGGATTTTCTGTGTGTGCAGACTTTGCCGCCTTTGGAAGAAGTGAGTGAAGATAAGCCAAAGGAGAAGCAGTGATGATTGCATCTATCTCGTTGTCTGTCATTTGCTCTAAGTTTGACTTGAGTAATGAAAGATGCCATTAGATCAGAAGACTTAGATTTCGAGCTAAATGTATGAATCTTTGAAAAGGGTCATGTAAGGATATGAAGTATACACTTTTTTATTTCCCGAAACTAAGTGATGAAACTTGCTGTTGAATGAAGTTTAATGTCATGCATGCTTGTTTTGAAGTATGATTAAATACTGTAGTATTGTCTCTTTCTATATATCTTTACTTTCATGAGATAGATTTTGAATTCATTTGTATAAATGAGAATTATTGGTTAAATTTTTAATGTTCCACCATGAAAAGTCAAGCTAGGAACTTCATTTTAGGAGTATAGGACGAAAGAAGTATTTTTGTACTCTTTTCTCTGATAGTTTGCTCAGTATTCTACTTGTATTTAAGAATGTCCCTCTCCTTTTCTATTTTTGATCATGGGAATGACAAATTTACTCTTACATAAAATACATTTGATCCCACCATTTTTGTCTCTAATCAATTTCAATCAACCCAAAGTTTAAAAAAGTAAAAAATGACAACGGGGCAAACAATTGGGGTCAGAGGCAGTATAACAACTTGAGACACGAAAATAACCATATTAAATGATGGTAGAACACAGGGTAGAAATTAAATAGATGATCAATTCTGTAATGGAGTAATAGTAGCCTTATATATATATATTCTAGTATTCTACTGCTAATAAGCTTGTTTGTGCTAATCTTAAATAACTAATACTTGAATGAAAGAGAAAATTTGATCATATGTTAGATTGGAGACTCAATCCAAGTATATGGTATGCCTTTCCAAGCAGTAATGGACTTTCGTTGAGTACCAAATAACAAAGCTCTTGTGCTGATAGTACTTGGCGTTTGCGAAACCCCCAAGTCACACCATCCTGCATATTATAAAAGCAATTATTTCTGTAACAAACTCCATACCTATCCCACTTTCCATGTCACTCAATCATCGAGGTCAAAGATGGAGTTACCGTGAAAGCCATTGATAACAAAATTACAGGAGTAGGTATCTCGACGCTGAAGGAAGAGTTGGAACCAGTGAATATAGCTCTGTTACCCAGGTTCGTAACTTTCTTCACCTTTCCGTCTTTAACATCTAGCTCAAGTACCTCGAATCTGATGGTTTTACAAGAGGTAATAGGAAAACTAATCACATGATGCTGTAATATCACCTGACGGATAACCAACAATTGACTTGCAGATTCAACTAAATAATAATACTTCCATGTTTCATTATTATTTCTTGTTTCCAACTGAGTGACCACCTGAAAATGAATTTTACTATTTTTCCATGAAAGTTAACCCCATAAAACTCTCCTTGATAAAAAGTTATGTCGCGGCAAAGAGAACCAAGAAAGCTGCTATTCTAGTTCAAGTTCAGTTGGGGGTCTGGATCCACCACTTGAATCCACCCACACCCATGACCCATCATAGGCCGAGCCATGTCTCCAATAAACCAGCATTGACGGAATAGATATAATGGTTGTAGCTTTGTCCTCCAAAGTAAGGAAGACAATGAAATCCGAGGTGACAATGCGTGGTTCCTACACCCAGGTGTACCATGCTAAACGCAGCTAAAAGAACATGAAATGGAGGTCTCAAAATAAGTAAAAAAAGCGAAAAGAACACTAGTTTATCAGACATAGAACACAAGAATATTTGTGTAACTTCCTTTAAAATAGGAAAATCAATTATTAAATATTCTTTACCTCACATTAATTGTCAAGTTTTTTTTACACAGAATAATACTTATAATCAACTCCATTTAAGCATAATTATAAGTACAACTTGATATTAGAAACAAAATCCTTAAAAAATGAAGTTATCTTTTGGACCTTGTACTTTTCACCTTAAAATATAATATTTAGTAAAATTAATTTGATTTTAGTTTACTAAAAATAATTGAAGTTCAATAAAAAATAATTTTAGTTTTGTAAAAGTAATTTCAATTTAGTTAAAATAAGGTGCATCTCCAATAATCTTGCAATTAATTCTTACAAATTAGATACTTACCTCTTAGCGGTGAATGAAATTTCAATAACTAAAGCATCACACGAAATCGAGTTTCAAATTGAAAAGGAACGAGGGGTTTAAATAAAGGGAGACTATCCAGCACTTAACAAAGAGAGAATTATTGAGAGGGAAGGGTGGGATTTTCTTGGAAGTTTTACCTAACATTTATGCCAATGTTACTCCATATAATAAAAAGTTGTTACAAATAATCGAGACGAGTCTAACAAAATCACATATGAGTAACATGACTATATTTTTTCCATACGTATAAGGAATCTACGTGTGTGAATGATGTAAAATTCCGAACGTTGAGATTTAAAAAAATTGGAGAAAGTATAATATCAAAAAATGATGATTAAAGTTGAGAAAAAATAAAAATAAAAATAAAATCAAGTGTGTCAATTATTTTAGGACAGAGGGAGTAAAAGAAATATTGTATAAATCATTCAATTTTTTATCACTAGAAAGAAAACTACAAATATGACTTTGCTACAAGTGGCAACATTTGGAGCCAAATCTTATTCCAACCAAAAGTTTATATATACCCATAACATTGTATCTTGCCTACACCACAAATGAAATATATTTCAAGACTTAACTTTATACAAGACTTACTCTTTTGAATAAGCAATGCATCTATGTTTGATTAGATAATTATACAATTTTTGTTATGACAAAATGTATTAGTCTCCCTTTTCAAATCTTGGTTTCACCCATTCGTATATAATTTACAATAGGCATAAGAAAATATAAAACAAATTGATTAACTCAATCTGATGGCCTAGTAATAGAACTGCTGCAAACTGTAAATTGCCTTGAATCTTCTAATAATATTAACACTTGTATGTTTTTCAAGGTTGCTGCTCCATCCTCTATGACTCCCAGTATTACTTCTGCATATGCCCATCAGCCTACATCTCAACAGGTTTGATACTTTGATTATTTGATTACATTTGATATTTTAACAAAAATTAATTAACTCTATCTAATCTTATGCAGTACATAAGCACATCCTCGACCTCTGTCGAAACTTGAGTGAGGAGCAGTAGTACCAGATATGAAGAGGCTGATTTAACTATAGACTAATGTATGCTGATATATGCTACAGGCTGATGTACTGTTGATATGAGGCTACCTATACGTTTAAAATATGATATAGGATATATGCTACAGGCTGATGTACTGTAGACATTGATATGAGGCTACTTATACGTTTATAATGTGATATAGGCTATGTCATATGATTCTTTTACGTTCACAAGATTAATTCCGTGTTATTTTGCAATTTATACATTAAACCTTCAATAATTCTGTGTTATTTAGTTTAGGTTGCCGTGGAATGTGATCTTTTGCTAGAGTTGATTCCAACTAGCACCAAAAAAACCAAAAGAAAACAATACCATCGGAGAGATCAGAACATAATTAGTGAAAATTGAAAAGATATGCATTTTGTTCTTTTACACAAGTGGAATCGGAGAACAATTTCCCATTTCCATATTGGCAATTGCTAGTCATTGAGCACTAGGATCAAGGATTACTACATACAAGGGCTTTCAGCTAAAAATGGTGAAAGGTACCGGAGCCATCGCATTGAAATCCACGGCCTACCTAGTTAAGAGGATACATTTTAAAGCAAAAATCAACGCAAAGTAGTAAATAAGAAATATTCAGGAAGCACCTCCGGCTCCAGCTAGCCCAAATGATTCATATCTGCACCAGCAGCAGCCCCTTCATCCTGAGGTTGTCGTCCAGTCAATTACCAACTTAATATCCAGATTGGGATTAATAAACTAACTCTAATAAAATTACAAATTACCTGCTGCTGAGGGAGGATGACATTTAGGCTTATATTACTGGATGAAAATGAATCGGATTTAAGACATCACTACTGGAAGCTGGATTCACATATCGATCATTCATTACCACTTTGCCTCCCTTGAAAATTCCCCCTGCCGCGCCTTAAATGACCCTGTCCCCCTCTCCCTCGGAATCTCGAAGCTCCAGATTGACTCTCGGTTTGCACCCCAGGGTCATTTGATCTACTGCTGTTATTATATGGTCCCACAGGCTGGTATTCATAGTGTGAGTTCTGCCTCTGCCTCTCACGATTTGCAGAGGGAAAATGCTGCTTGTTTTCTTGGACCGTCGAGCTCCAATCCCCACGAGAATCATGTCCTCGATTAGAACGCCCATTCTTGCGGTATCCAGAAGAAGGACGATACTCATTGCGACCATCCGATCCTCCAAATGATGCAGGTTCAACCTCCCCTGCAGAAGCTTCTGGTTCCTGAATAGGAGAATGAGGACGCCTTTTAACAGGAGCGACTCTCTTATCCCGCTTAGCATCTTCATTTCCTGTTCTAAGAATTGCTTCACCTGCACCTTTACTTTCAGAAGTTGGTGCTGAATCTGTAGCAGCAGATTGTTTAAATTGTGATGAAGAATGTGAGCCACCATAGGGACCAGTTTCGACTTTCAAGGCCTCGCTTTCAGGGATTAAATTTTGACTGCCACGAGACCTATTTCCTTGCTGACTATGTGCAACATAGCCTTGAGACTTGGGTTGCCAATGAGGCATAGAGCGGTCCCCAGCTGCTCGATTGTCTCTTGAAGACATTGTCTTATCCGCTTGATTTGCCTCTACATACAGAAGCTCAGTCAAACCAGCATTTGGATCTTTATGATCAAGAATCTGAGGACTCCCACCGCCTTTTTGCCCCTTGTATGGAGGCCTTTTCCCCCTTCCTGTTGGAATGTGGCCCTTTACATCGGTGGACTCTGCCAGTGGATTAGAGCTCAAATCAGTTACACTCTCCCAACCATCAGATATAATGATTTGTGGTCCTTTCACTGAGTGTTGATCAGGTCTAGATGGTGGTCCTCTCACAAAGGATTCATCAGACTTAACAGTTGACTGAGACCCATTGGATGCTTGACTATTTTTGCTAGTATTAGCAGCAGAACCGTCTTGGGAAGCTTGGATGGAAGTTGATTCAGCAGCAACACGCTGACGCCATGATCCCTGAACCCTTTGATTCCTATTCTTACCATCTACATGTTTAGATTCCACATTAGCCCCTGTTTTCATGACATTCTCAGAGCTATGAGAAGCCTTGTCTCTACCACCACTTCCATCAGTTTCAGGTGGATCAACTGAAGTAGATGGAGAT